CACCCTCGATTGTATAGTTAACAAAGCATTTTAAAGCAACAATAAAAAACATTTTTATTTATATTTTCAGTTCTTATAATGTTTTCTTTTCATACAATACCGAAATAATATCTCACATACACTAACGCCACATATTAAATCCATATCAGTAATTAAATACTTTGACAAAACGGCGCCAATCCGTAAGCAGCGTAAATGACGTCATCCTAAGTAAACAACTCATTCATAAACAAGCTGACGTTATTTCATACATACAAGAATGATAAATGGGGCACTGATGTAAACACGATACGACGTAAGTTTTAATTGTTGAAAACTTGATAAAATAACGTTTCTTTTCCTTATTATTTCTTTTGTTTGATAATTTCTATATCTTCGCAACAGTAGGATGCGAAAATCGAACAGCGTTATACGAAAATCGGCACCGGAAGTTATTTCCGCTTGTAAAATAAGTTTAGTGATTTTCCTTATTTTATCGTGTTAGAATCGAAATAACATCGGGCTGAGAGGTGTATATCGGCTATTTAACACCGGTTTTGTCGTTTTGATGCGACAAAATTAACCACTCAGGCCTACGGCCTTCGTGGTCAATTCCTACGCATCAAAACTCCAAACCGGTGTTAAATAGCCGATATACACCTCTCAGGCCGATGTTATTTCTTAATCAATTTCGCCATTGTGAAATAGAATAAAACACATTTTACTACATAGGATAAGATGAGCAATACTTAAAACATCTTCAAAACGAAACCAAAATATTATTTTCCGACAGGACTAAATCTAAGTGATTTGACGTGCACTATTGCGATACAAGTATAAGTGTTATTGCTTTAAGGAACAATCAGTTTTTTCACAATCTCTCTGTGAAAGATCAACAATGATAAACTAAATTGTAGAAAGAGAACGGTAGGCATGTTGCTTCGCATTTGCAACGGATTCTAAAATCTGCTTTAAACTGTAGTCCTTTTTTTCGACTTGGAACTGGTGCCGGAATTGACAATTGAAGAAAAATGAAAGATTTATGTCATTCATAATAAAAATATGAACATATTTAGGTAGAGTTTTGCCTTCCGTACTTCCGGTTGATCTAAACCTGACTTTTTATTCATGGCGTAGACCAGATAACGCCAGAAAACGAAATAGCTTGCAACTGAAGCCCGCTCTGATATAAGCAACTTCCAAGGTTATGCAAAGTGTTTGATAAAACGTCTTATAAACGGACAAATATCCAATATTCTGTGGAAAGCTTATATTTTTCCCCGTAGACTGGTGCATATCCCAAAGAAATTGGTACAGAAATAAAATATTTACGGCTATTTTCTTTTCCGAATCGAGCAATTTTTGTCTTGGAAATGATGCCGAAAATGACGTCAATGTCACGTGGTATGGCCACACTGCGTATAGTCGAGCTAAAAATTTAAGAATTTAAGACAATACCTTTCCAAGTCTCATTACATGTATTTGTATTTATTCTGTCTCCTAGCATATCGATATAGATTTACAGTTTATATTGGGACAAGATTAGTGGTTGTCAGCTAATAAAACTCGAGTGACTAGGCCATATTAAAATTTTAAATATGCTAATAATAAAATAGATTGTAATAATACTTTTGATGCATCAAATTTATTAAATGAGAATACATGACTTCTTTTCTGAAGTTATAGGCCTATCATAGTTACTTTCATTCAAGTCTTGTGAAAATCTTCAGCAGTTTGGATGCATGATAATCTTAGTTCTAAAGTGATTTAATACAACTTTTATCTGTTAAAGGAACTCCATTGAGGTTTATAAGCCAAACAACTAACATTTTATTTTTTCACACAGATAAACATGAGCACTTTAAACAGAAATATAAATAAAATATAACTAAGAAATAAACAAGAAATACATTGAAAATAGTATGTTTGTGCTATTCTCAGTAAGATTTGAGTGATAATTTTGGGTCATTTTTCGCTATCATAATACATGTAATTATTTTGGAAAAACAGAGCAAGCTATCTGAAATAAGATATTAGTATAGATCTACATATAATAGAGTAATAATCTCAAAAAAAAATTTCCAGTCCCGTCATGTCAAAAAAACGTCAGTGGAGTCCCTTTAAGAATGTTTGACAACATTGAGCTACATAAAACTGATTACTGACATTAGTATCAAAACTTTTGGGGAATAAATGAAATAAATCATTGACATGTCTACACTTTATGTACAACTTGTAAATTACCGTGTATAAATAATAAGCCTGAATCAATTATAAATGTCACAGGGTCAAATATTTCCGGTGGAACAGAAACAAAACTCTGGGCGTAGGTTCGATGTTTTTAATGACTCCAAATAAAAATGGTCTAAAAATATAATAAAATAATTATACGTCTTACAAATACAATACATAGAAAAACAAAATACAATGAAATAACAATATATACACAATCGACGCAGAATAAGAAAATACATAAGAAATACAATTAATATTCTAATATTAATACTATTCTTACCACAGCGTCTGTAATTAAACTATTTCAATATAAATTGAAATAGGTAAAGTAAATGTATATCTATATAAATGTTAAGTTTTTACTATGTCTGACTCGTAAGAGATGACTGTAAAGAGTGAGCGGGACAGGAAAAGCAAACAGTGCGCAGAAGTAAAAAAATATTTAAAAGAACCAATGGATATCTCTCACACATAGAATCATACATAACAAACACAACAATTGGATAAGTTACCAGAAAGAAAGAGTGACCAGTGTTCACGATATTGCACGGGTGAGATCGACAATGTACATCATTGACGGAAATTGTCGATTTTCACCGATTCAATACCGGAAGTTAAACTTATACGATAAAACCTAAACGAAACCGAATAAAAACGCGCGTGCACGATGTTTCCGCTTAAATAAAACTATGGAAAGCCACGGCTGCCATTACCATATAATTTCAATCTGTGACATAAATATGTCTTGGAAATAAGCAATAATTTAATTTAAGTCAGTTTTGTTAATTCATTTAGAGATTTAAACAGACTCTAAACCTGTCCGAGATATATTACAAAGTCAGTCACATCATTGAATTATCTTGTAATCATTGAGCGAAATATTCTTTATGTTTAGAACACTTTGTATATTAAAGCTGCACGCCTCCAGATGAGCAAATATATTTCGATAAAATCAAACCTGAGAAAAATGTTCTAAGATTTTTGGAAAGGTATAAAGATTCAAAATTCTAGTAATAATTTACATGTTATTAGCGATTAATTACTAATTTTTCAGTATTTATAACTATATTTCTACTGCGTTGCTAATGCGGTAAGGTCAATTTTTGCATATTTTTTTACCTCTTTATAGCAATGTACAGGACATTGGGTTATTAAGTGCCATGGATAATGTGTAAATTGCATTATTTTGGTAACTTAACAATATTATACTGCTTAATACATTTTCAAATTTTCATGAAAATTAGCGTGCTGCTTTAAGCATATAGTTATATTATATAATAAAAGTGCTTGAGCAGAACATGTATGTTCGGGAACTTGGGTTCTACTTCAAATAAATCTAAACGAGTATGCGCCTTTAACTTTTTATTTCCTTGATAAACGTCGATAAGCATTGATAAGCGATGATAAGCGATTTTCTGAAAATATTCATTTATAATTTGTACTTCGCAATAAATAATAAACATAAAAACATTCACATCATCAATAAATTATTTATGAATTACACAATAAATCTAATTAGAACTTTTGTACCTTTAAATTGAAATCTTACTGTAAATTATCTTTTAAAATAATTGCATTATTTTGTTAAATTAAACATACCGATTTTGACTTGTCTCAATACATCAAGTTCCAGATTTAAACTGACGAGATTCTCAATAACAAGACAAAACAAAATTCTAAATACATGTAACTATGTACAATAAAGAGACAAATTTGACCTTTTAAACTTAAATATATGTATATTCGAGTGGTTAATGTTTAAGCTTAGCTTTTAAACTTTAAAGTGTCAATAAGCGACATGAGTATGACTAAGGTGAACTTTCAAGTACTGTAGACACCGCTCACAAGATTTGTTCCATTATCACTGAACACCTTCTTCGGATATCCTCTTCTAGCCGTAAAACGCTGAAATGCTGCTATGAAGGAGTCAGTTGTCAAAGTGTGTGTAACTTCAAGATGTACTGCTCTAGTTGCAAGACACGAGAAAAGACAACCGTATCTCTTTACATGTGTACGCTCTGCTTTTACAATAAGTGGCCCAAAATAATCAATACCTACATTCGTGAACGGAGGTTCATCTGATGTCGTCTGCTCGGGTAGGAGAGGGGCCATCTGTTGAGTCATCAATGGGGTATGTTGTCGTCTGCATATAATGCAATTCTTTACAGTATTTTTCACTGCACTAGGTCCCTGAAGTATCCAGTATTTTTCACGGGGTGCGGCTAGTACATACTGTTTCCCGGCGTGACCATTATTTCCATGTATATGTCGTATTTTCAATCTTGTCACGGTATTTTTATTGGGTAGTTTCACTGGACAATTACTCTGGTTGCGAGATTGAAGTCGACCCTGTACCCGAATGAGGTCATCATATATCATAGGATTAAATGAAGCTATATAACTGTCCTTTTTGACCGGCTTAGAATTTTGTAAATTGTTAATTTCACTGGAAAATGCTGTTTTCTGTACATACAACATTATATTATGCTCTGCTGTCTGCATTTCTTCTAATGTTAAGTTGCTATTAACCATTTTCAACTTGTGTTTTAGGTATCGCTGTCTGCAGAAATTCTTGTATCTTAGCAACCATGCGACTGCTCTTCTTAGTTTCGTCCAGTTACAATAGCGATCTATAATGCTGTCTAGGCATTCAGCTGCAGAAGTTTTATTAATCAGGACTTCTTTCTTGACCTCGTTATCATTTTCTGCTACTTCCGGCGGAAGTGGATTTTTTGTCCATTTTTCAGAGTCTTGCTGAAGAAACATAGGTCCATTTAACAATAAATTTAATAAATAAGTTTTTCACTATCGTATGCACTTATTCCTCTGGAAGCTATGTCTGCGGGATTCGAACTTGTGTGTACATGGCGCCACTGGTCTGGGTAAGTTGTTTCATGAATTATGCTGAGTCTATTCCCAACAAACGTCTTGAACCGCTTGGACACGTTATTTATATATCCAAGAACAATCATGGAGTCTGTCCAAAAAGTAAAATGGTCAAAGTTCATATCTAATTCTTCAGATAACATTGCAAATAATCTACACCCTACTACAGCGCCAGATAACTCAAGTCGTGGAATAGACATCTGCTTTATTGGTGCTAGATGAGATTTTCCTATCGCCAGGGAACAATGTACGTTGTCATGTACATCAACAAAACGCAAGTAAGCGCATGCACCATAGCCTCGTTCCGAGCCATCACTGAATATATGTAACTGGGTATTTCTGACGGTCCCAAATCCCTGTGGTCTGTACCAGCGATTCACAGATAGCTTTTCTAAGCTATAGATAAGGTAGATAACCAAGTTTGCCATTCATTACTGATGTTGTGTGGTATCTGGTCGTCCCAGCCAATCTTCAATCTGCTATACCTTTGGCCTGGAGTGTAACAGGTGACACAAGTCCAAGTGGGTCGTATATAGAACTTACGACAGAAAGAATTCCACGTCTCGTGAAAGGCTTCTTTTCAAATTTCACTTTAAAACAAATTTTATCTTCATTTACATTCCAAAGTACTCCTAAGGCGCGGTCACAAGGAAAGGTATCATCGAAACTCAAATTTACAACAGAAGGGGCGCGTTCGGATTCTGGGATAGCATTCAAAACTTCTCTTCTGTTACTTAGCCATTCATAATTGACTGAAGATCAATTGCTAACTTTATTGCCTTTTGTTCTGATTGCACAGACTTCAAACAGTCGTCAACATAAAAATTTCTCTGGACTGTAGTAACCACTTCCGGTTCAAATATTTCGGCATTGTCAACTGCAGTTCTCTTTAAGGCATACGCCGCACAACTTTGTGATGATGTCGCTCCAAACAAGTGTACATTCATGCGGTAACACTTCGGTTTCTTGTTTAAGTCCCCACCAGGCCACCATAGAAAACGTAAAACATTGCGACCTTCATCCGTAACGCGCACTTGATGAAACATGGATTCTATATCCGCGGCAAGGGCTATTTCCTCTTTTCTAAAACGAATTACTACGCCCATAAGACTGTTCATTAGGTCATGTCCTTGGAGCAATTGGCTATCCAATGAAACGCCTTTATATTTCGCAGCGCAATCAAACACAATGCGAACTTTCCCTGGTTTGTTTACATTAGTAACTGGATAATGTGGTAAGTACCAGATACGTTTGTGATAGTTTTCGTCCTCAAATTCCGGTAATTCAGTCGCAAAACCTTTCTGTATATATTCGTTCATGGTAGTTGTGTACATTTTCTGTAACTCTGGGTCACGTGACAGTTTGTTTCTTAGTTGTTGAAGACGCACTTGAGCGAGTGAAATGTTGTTAGGCAATTGTCCGTTCTCGTTTTTCCATGGTAACCCCATCATGTAGTGTCCGTCTTTATGAATAAGAGAATATTCCATTACAGTAAACTCCGCTTATAACGAACTCATTGGGACATTCAAAATTTGTTCCTTATATCCGGAGTTCCTTGTAAGCATATAGCGAATTAGTTCCTTGTATCAGGAGTTTTTATAGCGAACGGATTTACATATAACGAACTGATTGTTTACTATCGTCCTCCATTTTGAAGAGCATTTGATTAAGTAATAAATAGTCATATATTTGAAAATCCTTTGCTATTTCATTTTTAGTTTTACACCTCTTCTCATTTGCCCATAAATATCATATTTTGTTCTAAACTCATTGGTTTCTGTTTTCTTTCCATGATTAAGAACAAACACGATTTTCGAGTTTTCCTTCCTTATTAAATTGAATATCTTCTATTATATTTTAAGGGTGACTTTTACAAATGAAAATTTCTTTTCATTTCAATCAAGCTTATTTTGTAGTTTTCAATGGATTAGCAAGCATTCGTGTTTATGTTGCAACCGATTATATTTGATCATGATTTTTTTACTCGAGCAAAACTATTAAAGAAAAGAAATAATAGTATAAAAAGAATACATTTTGTAACCGTTTTATCTTGGTGACAAGAACCCATGCAAAACTATTCTTAATAGAAAATTACGCACTACTATACAAATTCATTTTCACAGCTGTTTTAATACACGGTACATTCGACTGAGTTTTAATCCGTGCCAATGAAAATTAAAAGTGAAAATGAGGGATCTATTTACGGATAGCCGATATTTTTGAGTTCGTTATAAAAGTGTAATTTTCTGTACTTTTAACTAAATTGGGACTAAAAAATGAGTTCCTTATAAGCGATAATTCCTTATAACCATGTTCGCTATAACCATATATTTTTATATTAAATAAAGAAGGGCAAAATTCGGGCCAAAATAAATTGTTCCTTATAACCGGAAATTCGCTATAACCGTGTTCGCTATAAGTGAAATTTACTGTATTTTCATTGCACTTTTGTCTTCTAAGGACATAGAATTTTTCTCGTTCAATCTGTCTTTAAAATCAGTATTCCACATCTTTTCTAATTATTCCTGTAATAATATGTCTCTGGACTGTTCAAAGTG